TCATGGTTAGAAGTACATTCTCATTTGGTAAAAGAAATGGTATTTAAGAAATGTAGGCTGGATTTTAGAGACATTTTAGAGACATTTCCCACCTTTTATAGCCAGGAAGTGAGAATCCTGCACCCTGGGGAAGGGTTGTTCCAAATGGTGTCATATCCAGCCATTGTGTAGAGGCTTTCCGGTTGCCAACAGCCACTCTAACCCTAATTGCTTCCAGCCTCTGGAATGTCAGAGAGACTTCCTCGAGTGAACTTTTGGGTGAGGATGGCATCAGAGCAACTTTAACGGCAGGGAGCTGGAACTTTGTTAAAATTATGGAAGAGGTTTTAGGGACCATTTTGGCCCCTGCTGCTTGCTAATGGATGTCCGTGTAATGCATGTCTGCAAGGGTGGCAGTTTGGTCAGGGACTTATTTTTATTATAACCGGACTGTGGAGGTCCACTGAAATCTCCCCAAACCATCCCTGAGGTTAGTTTGCAACAGGGCACCACTATCGATGGCAATACTCAGCAAGGTTCCTTTAGGAAGTTTTGGGAGCAATGAGTGTTGTCCTGGGGGACAGACCATGATGGACAACGTGGCAGATGGAAGAGAAAGAGACAGTGATGCTGCATGGTCATCTCGTGGGCAAACAGGTTTCTAAGCACTCATGAGGCACACCTTTAGAGATTTCCAGAAATAAACAGAACGTAAGAGCTGCTGATAGCTCAGATCTTAATTTGGGCATCAAGAGCAAACAGAACTTCATTTCCCACCTACATACTGGAAAAGCCTGAAATACTAGTTATATCCTGTGAAACTGCACACAATTCTACACAAGACATCATTTAAAGTGTGGAATGGTTGCAGTGATAAGCTATCCTGGGAAAAAACAGTTGGGACAACCTAGGAGCAGAGGTCTTGATCCAAGTTATGGCTGCTGTGAAGTTTAATGGAGACATGGTCCATTTTCCTCTACGGGGCTTGTAAAGAAGTTTTACCTACTACTTCTGGTGATTTTATGTGCTATATTCCTGAGAGACTGGAGGAGGGGTGTGGGTGGTAAAGCTTGTGCCAAAAGCTTGTCAAGGGGACCCTCTAGCTGGTAGTATCAACTGACAGTTACTGAGAAAACTGGGAGCTTTGGGGATTCTTGGATTTCCGTTTAACCTCAAAAGGCTATGGGTACCATAGGTAATGAGAACATGAACATGGGCCTGTAAGATGGGGGCCCCACTAACACAGTTGACAAGAGGTCCTCATTGCCTGTGTCCTGGGAGGCAAAACACAAAGTTGGACAAGTCAATTCACAAATAGGCATTGAACTCTTGTTAAGCGCTAGGTACTATGACCCAAAAGGCAAAATAAAACATGTAGGAGTTGCAACTCGAGTGGGGCACAAACACCGATGCCTTCAGGAGTCAGTGTTTGTCATCCTAGCTGATGTGTTAGTGCCAATAAATAGAACATCTTCAAGCCTAATGCTTACTTCTCTGGAATCCTGGAAGTGCCCTGAATTCCCTCTTCCTCCCTTCCTTTCTTTTTCCCAGTAATAAAAAAGTTCTGAGCATCTAATGTGTCCCAGACACTTGTGCTGGATTCTGAGGATACAGAGATAAAAACACAAGCTGTGGCCTTCTAGAATTCATGATCTCATGTGTGTGTGTGTGTGTGTGTGTCTATGGGAGAGTGGTGGTAGAAAGAAATAGATAAATAGACAATTAAAACACAACTTGATACGTACTAGGGTAGTGAGGCCTCACGTAACTCAGAAGAGATACATCAAACTCAAAAAGTATGTCGAAGCTCTAAATAAGCTCCCTGGGGGTGATGCCACTTGAGCTAGGTCTTAAAAGACAAGCCAAGCAGCCAGGGTGAAGGAGCAGGATGAAAGGCATTCAGGAGGTTGGCAGCAGGGGCACTGTTTGCTGTTGTGACTGCAGGAGGCTGAGGAGGGAGGGACTCCAGGGAATTCAGCAGCCGGGGATACACTGGGGGAGGCGCTGTGGAAAAGGAGGCCACCAAATCAAGCTGAGGTTTTGGGCTAAGCCCAGATCACAATAGCAAATCAACTTGTTCCTGAAGGTGACAGAAAGTGAATGGATTTAAAACAGAGAAGGAACAAAAAGTATTTTTGTTAGTGGAGGTAGAGGACAGACTGCAGTAGAGAAGAAAGATGGAAACACGGCCATGACAATAGCTTACAGTGTTGTTTTTAAAAGAGCCCATTCTGGTGTATTTACCCGTAATCTCAGTCTCCTACTACTACAGTAGTCCAGAAGTAAGATTTGGAAATCGAAATCTCATTATTCTCCAATACTGGTACCTGAATCAAGGAATGCTAGTGTTCCTAGGAAATCATGTTGCTGGGCGACTCCCCAACCATTGCTTCAACAATTCTTCAAGGGTTCCGACAGAAGGTGGACACCACTGGGATCAAAGAAATCAGAGCTCAACTTTAAGTTTCAAGTTGATTCGAAATCTACATTGAAGAGAATAATCTTGAAAGATGGGTTTTGTTGAGTGAAAAAAGTATTATCTAAATTCTGAAACTTTCCCTTTAAATAAGAAATGAAGCTTGGATTATAGAGAAGGGAAGAAGAACTTGGATAAGGGAAAAACATTTGAAAGAGGAACTGGAGATGGGGCAAGAGATCAGATGCAAATGTCTTGGATTGTTTTGTAGGATGGAAACTTCCAGAAGGGGTAGAAGGAGCCCAGTGTTACGTTTTGAGAAATCTGAAAACACTGGGGTTCTATGTCAGGGCACTCAAAGGAGTCCCACATTGGGCAATGGCCCTTCATTTGATGCCTCTGAGGAGTCAAGGAGCAGCTTCATTCAAGTGGAGTTAGTGGTCCTAGTGGACCCCAGTCTACATGCCACACGTAGGGCTTAAGGAGGACCCACAAGTAGCAGTAGTAGATGAGGAAGTGCAAAGAAAACTGGGCATCACAAAGAGGAGACCACAGAGCACAAGGCCTTGTGACTAAGGCTGTAGCAGGGCTCTTCACCTTTAGCAGTGACACCCAAAATTCCAGCCAGGAGCCATCACTCCTCAGCATCGTGGGTAGAGATGGCCCAGAGACCCCACAGGATGAGGGCCATCTCCTCGAGGCAGAGGAAACGCAAAGGGCCCCCACCCCCCAACACCCAGGTGCCAGTGGAGAAGGGAGATATAGCCCTGAGACAGAACATGAATTTGAATCCACTCTTTACTCCCAATTGACAGTTTTATTTTTTTAAATTTTGGGGGGGCAGGGAGGTAATTAGGACCCTCTTCATCAATTGACAATTTTAAACTGGAAGAGATTGAATTAAATTTTATAAAACAATTTAAGTGTCTTCCTTAGCATGAGCAAGAAGAGGGGTTGGTCAAGTAGGATGGGCTCAGTTTGTGATTATAAGGTTGCCTTTTTTTTTTTTTTTGCATCTGAGTTGTACTGTGTAAACTTCTGTTCTGCTTCATCTATGTATATCACACACACACACGGACTTTTGAGTTCCTTCTCTGACAAAAATCATCATGTCAACAAACAGGCTCCAAAACAGCAGACAATAGAAGACCCTAGGGGAGGCTGTCTTTCAAGTGAAAAGGCTAAGGATTCATTTACTTTATAGTATGGGAGGCAACAGAGAGTAATGGTTAAGACCGTGGAGCCCAATGTATAGTCTTCAAACCCTCGTTCCACCTGGTCAAGTCATTTATATCTCAGCTCCTCAGTTTTCTCATCAGGAAAATGGGAATAATAATCATACCTACTTCATAGGCTTGCTATGAATACTAACTGGATTTTATCTGGAAAGCACTTAGAACAGCTCCTGGCATACAAGTGGTGCCCTATGAGTGTTTAACAAACAAATTCTGGTCTCAGGATCTCAAACCCTTGAGGGACTTGTGGTTAACAGCAGGGTCACATGTGAGATGGTGATTTAGAAAAACAAATGTCAGCTTTTCAACCAGACTTCTTCTGCATCTGGGCGGGCCCTCTGGCCAAAGCCCTTCTTTTCCCCTATCTCTGTCTATTCTCCTAAATCTGCCCAGATAGGGGATCTAAGATTGTTTTGTCTATTTCTGACATGAAGGGACTGTGAAAATTAATAAGGACAATGTCTGTGAAGTGCTTTGAATTTTTTTAAAGGAAAAATGAATCAAAAATAAAAGGTAATACTGGGCAGGAGAGTCAGAGCTTCTTCTCCACGCAGAGCTCCAGTTCCAGCTATGGAAATCCTCCATTGCCGCTGCCATCAATGAGTGTTAAGAAGATGGAAGATAACACACAATTTCCTCATAGAGAAAGTTATAGGAGAAAACTGACCGAAGCAACCTCTCACTGTTTTTAACTGTCCTGCTTTTCTTAAAAGTATGCCATCTATAAAACTTAACACCTGGGCAACCACCTTTCAGGGTCCCCCAGCTGTGGGACCCCATATGCTAACAATGGAGTCACAGAACCATTCTCCTGACACAGGAGGAAAACATTTACTGAGACTCTACTATGTGCCAGGCACAAATCTAGACTCTCAGTGGATCCTCAAAACCCTATGAAGTAAGAATTATCTCCATCTTACAGGTGAGGAAGCTGAGGCTCATGTATACACAGCTAGTGAGAGCAAAGGTTTTAACCCAAGACTTTTCTGTCTCCACAAAATCCATGTTTTACTTGCCACTTTGCTCTATTATAAATCTGTACAAATGGCAGCAGGAGCCTGAGGAAGTAAAGATCAAGAGAGTTTCTACAAAGTTCAGGAAGCCATCATGGGTCCCTCTGCCGAGAAGTCAATCCTCAGTCCTCTGAAATCCTCTCGCACTTTTCCTATACTTCTCCTGTGCCACACTCTGCTTTTGACCTTACGTTCAGACCCTGATGCTCACCGTATTTTTTTGCTTGAGGGGCAGCTCTGAATCTAAGCTCCCGTTGTGTTCACACAATCATCCCAGAGATGAGTAGGTACTTAATAAACATTTTTAAAAACAATCAATCAATCAATCAATAAATAGTAATATAATTTTTGAAGCACCTTTTTGCGATCTTTGACATTCAGCTGTTTCATCATTGTTGTCTTTCCTCTAGTGCTCTCTGCCAGCTGATAAAAGAGAGAGAAAGAGAGAAAATGACAACCAAAACTATGTTTCATGAAATGTTTGGCATTTCAGTCTCTCATAAAATTTAGAGCTGAATGGCCTAGAATATATTTTAGATATATTTGCTGATAGATTTAAAAATAATTTCATCACACTGGTAGCATTTAACACATGAGAAGGAATTTCTCTTAGACCTGCATCCAGAAAATTAATCTAACACCTATCTAAAAATACTTTCTTCTCTGTCCTTTTTTCTATTTTTAAAAGCCCACTACTTGTTCATTCGCTTTTCCCAGATGTGAGCTGGGAAATGGAAATCTTTTTTTAAAGCCTAGCTAGAAGAACTCACAGACACACAAAAGTGTTCATGGCACCAAAGGTGTAACTTGCATCAAAATCTCACAAAATTCAAAATTTTAAGGATCTGCTGTTGTCACTTCATTTTCCATTATTAAACGCGTAGACATCACAAGGCGTGTACCTGTGATAATTTCGTGAATGAACAAGCACCTACAATGTGGAACGAATGAGGATGACATTTAGGTTTTGAGGCAGAGCCACATTCAGGTTTTTCAAAGCTTGGTCAGCTGTTCAGTGCAGATATTGTTTTTATCTAGTGCCATGATCACTTCATCATATAAGCACACTTCTTGAAATGGCAGGAAACTTGAGGTTTGAGATATTTTTAGAAGGGGTAGTTCCTGTGATCCTCCCAGATGCAAATCTGAATTGCACTCAGATCTACCACCAGGATCTAAAGCAGTGTTTTTCAGACTGGGTCATGGTCCATCCATAGGTCCTGAAATCGGCTTATGTATCAAAACTAGCATTTAAAAATACAGAAGATGACAGAGAACATGACATCATAGTAGCAATGCACCTTATGTTGAAAGAAAAAGCTTTGTTTCCGTGTGTGTGTGTGTGTGTGTGTGCGTATGTGTTGAGTTATGATACACAGTGTATTTTTTAGGATGAGTCAATAAAATATATTTGAAAGCCACAGATTTAAGATTACTACATGCATATTTCTCATCCAGTATAAAGTACTGTAAGAGGAAATTAGTACCAACCTAATGGAAAATAATTTTTTTCAATAAATTTCATACATCTTGAAACTATCCACAACCTGTAAGCCAGTTATTCCACCTTTGGATAGCTATCTTAAGGAAATAATCCAAAATTCAGCTGAAAATTATTACACAGAAATATTCACTGCACTGTTATTCATTATCCTGGAAACCCCAAACAGATTAAGTGCTCAATAACAGTAGGCCAATTTAGAACATGAAAACTGGTTGAGTATGGCATCATCATTAAAAGCAACATTTTCAGAGGATTTATAGTGATGTGGGAAATGCTTATGACACAATCTTAAATAAAAAGTGATTCAAACTTGCTCATACTTCTTAATCGTACCAATTGTAAAACTTGTTAGAAAAATATGCTAAAATAGTGGTTTTCTGAGTTGTTGCGTTATGGATAATTTTTATTCCCTGTTTTTCTATATTCTTCAAGTTTTCTACAAAGCATATATATTGTCTCTGCAAAAAGGTGCTTCTTTTAAAAACAAAGTTACCCCTTCCCAGGATAGTCTGTGTTCTCCTCAGCCAAGTAACAGCGCTCACCGTCCTGTGCTTTTGCTAAGGATGCCAGCTTTGTTGACGCCTGTGTTGGGCCAGAAAGAGTAACATCTCCCTTCTCTCACACGCACGTTCAAAGTGCAATGACTTTGAAGACTCCTGTTCACACTATTCCTGGGTGCTTTTTCTTTTCTCAAGACCAGCCCATCAGTTTCCTATCCCTTCTATAACAGACTACCACTAACCTGGCCACTTCAAACAACACAAACTTTTATCTTCCAGTTTTGGGGGTCAGGAATCCAAGATGGTTCTTGCTGGGCTAAAATCCAGGTGTCACCAGCCAGAGATCCTTCTGGAGATTCCGGAGGAAAATCTGTTTCCTTTGCCTTTTCCAGTTTTTAGAAGCTGCCTGCATTCATGGCCCCTTCATCCATCTTCAAAGCCAACAGCATAGTATCTTGAACTCTCTCTGCTTCCATCTTCACGTTGCCCTCTCCACACTGACCCCTCTGCCTCCCTATTCATAAAGACCCTTGTGATTACACTGAGCCCAGTTTGATAATCCCAGGTAACTCACTATTGCAATTTAATTTAATGACATCTGCAAGGTCCCTTTTGCCATGTAAGCAACTTATTCACGGGGTCTGGGGGTTAGGACAGGGACATCTTTAGGGAGACCATTATTTCTACCATAACCAGGTTTGACAAAATGGGGGTGGGGGGAGGCGTCATCACTAGTGCATTACAGATAGAGTGGTTTGAAAATTGCACTGTGCCCAAGTAGCTGCCCCAGTTGTGTGTGGACCCGTGATTTTCCCCTAGAGGACAACATCCGTTAGTAACAGGATCTGTCACTCACTGGCACTAGCCAAAGGCTAACTACAAAAGAGGCAGTTTCTAGCTTTACTGTTACTCTGAGAGTTTAAGCATCACAAAAACGTAGACAGAGTGCAAAAATGTACAAAAATATGTGCAAAAGGACCCACTGTTCCAATCACGATTGCTTTCCATCATTGACCCTTAGGCTATTGCCCTGTAGATGCCAAATAAGAGAGGAGGGAGATTATGGGCTCAGAAAATTCAGTGGTTATTCTAATTTGCTTTCATTTTTATTTTAGAACATTTAAAGTTCCTGAAGTAATACCACATTATTTTAAAAAATTGGAAAATACAGTTAAGCAATAATAAAAATATTGTTGCTTTTATGTCACTTCTGATTCTTCAGAGCTGATCACTAAACAACTAGGTGCCAGTGTTTTATTTTTCTAAAAACCTTTTTACTGAGTTGTGAATTTAGAACATTAAAATTCATTTAAACAGCTAAATTAAACTTCAAAGTAATAAGAACACTCGGTTATTAGCTTAACTATCTTCACACCTACTGCTTTTTGTTTGTTTGAAACTCAATACGATGCTATTTTTAAAAGAGTAATTTCAATGAAATTAATTAACGGAGAGTCTCAGTTTTCTCCAGGTTTGGGCAGACCCCTCCGTCCCACAGCTTTTCTTTCATAGCCTCCAGTTGGTGTTTTCCCTGCTTTCCCTCAAAGATGATAGATGAAATAAAATGCCAGCTTTCACAAGCCAATGAGCCTTTTTCTTTTCATTCCTCTTTGTGGACAATAAAGTAAAGAAATGTGACTCTTTCCTGTCTCTTTGTTTTCTTTCAACTTTTTCTTCTCAAGTTGCTATCCTCCCTGAAATATTCCAGCTTCCTCTCCACGTGCCTAATTTCTGTCCATTCCCTCAGAGCTCGGCTCAAGACTGCCTCTTCCAGAAAGCCTGATGGAACCACAGAGGCCTGATTTCTTCTCTTTCTGTGTTTCTCTAGAACTGACAAGCTATCCCACGTCTTATACTTAATCAGCAATGTGTTGACGAAGCATTTGCATGTAGCCTGGCACTATTGTCCCCATCTTCTACAGTCATGGGGACTTCTGCTCGCAGGGGTCAGGTCACTGTCCGAGAGTCTCACAGGATGCCCAAGAGCAGCCTGGGCACTCCAGCCAAGTCTCCTAACCCTTTGCCAGGGCTTGCGGCACCATCCGCTGCTGCCTCTGGTGCTCATTCTTTGCCAAAAATTTACATTTGATGTTGGGATTAACCTTTCACATATTTGTATCTTTTCACCCTTGACACATTACAAACTGAGTAAAGGTGGAGATCATATTTATTCATCAAAATACAGAAAATGTATATCGAGCTCCTGCTTTGCCAGGGACCGTGCCAGATGCTAGAAATGCAATGATAAATTAAAACAGTCCTTACCTGTAAAGTCCTTAGAGTCTGGGGCAGAACAGAGAAGTAAACTAGCACTGATATCACCATGTGAAAAGTATCCTAATGTAGGAAAATGTGGGGGTGAACCAGACAGCCAAGGGTCAGGAAAGCCTTTCCAAAGGACAAGTCCTCCAGCTGAGGCTTGAAAGGCAAGAGAAGCAGGAGGGAGGCTAATTCGCACATATTCAGCAGGCACTAGGTGCTCAGCATGGACCAGGTGTCACTCATATATCGTCTCATTGAATCCTCAAAGCAACCCCAGGAAATATTTGGGCAGAGCAGAGGACAGCAGGCAGGTGTGATTGATTTAATGTGTTTTACCATTCATTACTCATATCAGCGAACTCCCATGTAGCACTTCTAATGTGCTGGCACAGTTCCAAATATTTCATGTCTGTTACTCATTTAATGATTACCACAACCCTGCAAGGTAACTACAGTTACTCTTATTTTACAAATCAGCAGAGTAGGCACAGAAAGGTTAAGTTACTCGCCCACAGTCACACAGCAAGTAGGTGGGTGAGCTGGATTTAAACCAGGCAGTCAGGATCCAGAGTCTGTGCTCATCACTGCCACACTATGCATACTCTACCAGACTATTTTTTCATCCCTTGAATATTTTCATTGACAAAAGTAATGCATATCCTTAGTAGAGAAACCAACAATTTTGAATTGTGAAAAATGCTACATGGAAGGACCTGAAGATTATCATACTAAATGAATTAAGTCAGACAGAGAAAGACAAAATCATATGATACCACTTACATGTGGAATCTAGTAGGGAGGGTATATCTCAGTGGTAGAGTATGTGCCTAGTATGCACAAGGTCCTCAGTTCAGTCCCCAGTACCTCCATTAAAGATAAATAAATAAACTCAATAACCTCCTCCTTTTCTAAACACTTATATGTGGAATCTTAAAAAAAATGATACAAATGAACATATTTACAAAATAGAAAAAGACTCACAGACATGGAAAACAAACTTATGGTTACAAAGAGGGAAGAGGGGAGGGATAAATTAGGAGTTTGGGATTTGCAAATACTACCATATAAAATAAACAACAAAGTCCTACTGTATAGCACAGAGAACTGTATTTAATAGCTTATAATAACCTACAATGAGAAAGAATATATATACATAT